TTTTTTTTTTTTTTGGTACCAGGGATCGAACTCGGGTCCTTGCACTTGCACAGCAGGCAACGAAACCACTGAGCTAAGTCCCCGGCCCTATGATGGCTTTTTGTTTTGTTTTGTTTTGCTTTTTTGAGACAGGGTCTTGCTATAGAGATCAGGCTGGCCTTGAACTCACTATGTAGCCCAGGCTGACCTCAAACTCCTCAGCGATCCTCCTGCCTCAGCCTCCCAAGTGCTGAGATTACAGGTGTGCATCATCATGTCTGTCCCTGGCTGATGGTTCTTGCCGAAGAACAAAATCAGAGGATGGCTTAGACTCTCTAAGACTTTTACCTCCATGGTCAAGTTCTGCCATGAAATAGCCTCTCCGGGCTGCTCTCTGGGCGTAGCCTGAGGACTGTCTCATAGGGATGCCCTTGGATGGGAGCTTGTTTAGAAGCAAGCAAGGCTGCTGCCCCCAACTCTCTTCCAGGCTCCCCAGATGCCACTGACAAATCCAGAGGGCAGGGTCGAGTGTGGTGGCACATGTCTGTAATACCAGCACTTGGGAGGTTGAGGCAGGAGGATCATTGAGGAGTTTGAGGTCAGCCTGGCTTACACAGTAAGTTCAAAGCCAGCCTGAACTACACAGAAGCCTTGGCAAAACAAAAACAAAAACAAAATAAGCAGAGCCCAGCTTCCAGGCCAGATGGCTTCTGTCAGCAGTGACAGATAAGAACCAGTTCCATGAGCTGTGGAAGGGGAGCTTGCCACACCTGCAAAGCCACACTCTCCTGCCAGGAGGGGCCTGCACAGAAAGCCATTTGTTTCTGCTCCAGATTATTAACTCAGAGTTAGAGGTAAAGGTCTCAGGCCTTTTTCCTGGAGGATCTGGGTCCCTTGGATGGCGGATGGCTTCTTGGGCTTTTGACATTGAGAGCAAGGGCTGGCTTTGGGGCAAAACCCAGCTGGGCTCAGCTGTTCCCTGGATCTGGGACTTTGAGTAAAGTTGCTTCCCCTGTTGGAACTGTAGCCATCTTAGCTGTAAGCAGAGATGTTGGCAAGATGGCTAGGATGAGGTGTGCACAGACTTATCTCCCCTTGAGGTAGGCCACTGAGTGGGCAGGGAACTACTCACAGAGACCCAGATGAGGGATGGCAGGTGCCTCCTGCCAATGCTCCCCTGGTGGGTGCCCTGTCTGTGCACCCACCCCTCACCCTCTTGCCACAGCTGCCCTCACTTCGCTGAGACTGTTCTCCCAGAAGCCTCTGGGCTCCAGATGGCCTGGACACACAGGACTTAGCCAGAGAAGAGGCAGGGTCTGTCTGGGAGGTGTGTGGTGGGTGTCCTGGCAACCCAGGTGAGGAACCCCATGCAGCCTTTTAGGACTGGAAATTACCTCAGTGAATCCTCAAAATAAAGCCTGGGAATAGGTGTGATGATAAGTCTCATAGAGTTCAGTCACTTGCTTGTAGCTGAGGCCATATGCAAACCTAGATTTGCCAGCCTCTAAAGTCCACACTCTCAGC